AGAAATCATCGTGTTGATTAATCTGCCGAATTCGTGGCACGTACCTCGTCTTGCCAGAGTCGCCCTTGATCACAGCAGAATCGCAGCCCGAACTCAGCGCTACTTGTGTGAGCTCGTAGTGCAGCTCGTCCTGGGCATAAGTGACGCCGCAGGCCCATCTCATGTCTCTTGCGGTCCAGGTCCTGCCGAAGACGGACTTGGTCTCGAGGGAGCAGTGCATCTCCTTCCCATCCCAGGTGGTGATCAGGCTCAGCTCCGCCCTGCAGCTCGGCTGCTCGGCGCCGGAGAGCCAGAGCGGGGAGCCCTGGGCGTTGAAGAGCTGAAGCCCACCGACGTCCTCCGAGAAGTCATTCGGCAGCTCAGGGCAGCCTGACACTGCGACAACTAGGAACACATCAAGCAAGGTACACTGAGCTTGCGCCTGGGTGGTTGCAAGTCGTCTGATCGTCCGGATTCTCCTTGTGCCACACAACGTTATGAACAGTACAAAAAGACTCTTGAGACCGAGGGACACAACACAAATCAATAATACTTCCTGTCCCTGATTTGTTGACCCTATCTGTCGTTGGATGAAGAGGAGTCCTCATCCACAACGATCACCCTCGCACAGCCTTCAGAGACTTGGATTGACTCGACATGCTGTCCCACGTCTCTGTCCAGGCTGATGACTCGGAAACCGTTGGGGTCAGTGCCGCGCACCGCATATACCTCATGAGCCAAGCAATCGCGAGAAAGCCTCTGCTGACCTCCGCCTACAAGCACGCAGAAGCAACTAAAGAAGGAGACAGCGGCGGCAGCCTCCGAATATCACGAGGATCTTTGCACAGCCGAGTTGCCCAGGAAGCGGGGCAGTCCACATAATACTCATCCCGGCACAACGCCACCCTGCAAATCTGAGCGTCCAAAGTGTGCTCGCCCCGCTTGCTCTCGACTGTACCGGATGTGAGAGAGCTGTGTCGGAGGGGGTACCACGACTTTTGCAGCAGAGATTGCGAAGGGAACGAAGGGAACGCTGCGTCGGAGGGGCACACGTCTCGGGCGTGCGAGAAGTGTGCCAGTGTTAAAAAGAAGCCACACAGGCGCGGTAACATGGTGAAAGTGCTGAGGCTTGAGCCAAGGCGGTCGCGCATGCCGAAGCACAAGGGAGGCAGCAGTGTCCAAATCTTCACACGACGTTGAAGGCTGAACCTGCATCCTGTGATTTGTCACTCCTGCTGGCTCCACGCCATGTCTGCTTGAAACTCGATCGCTCGCACCCACTGATGTTCAGCGGGGGCCAAGGGTCACGCGGAGAGCCTTCTTGTGCCGCAGCTCTAGGGTCAGAAGCGCACCGCCCCAGTGACAGTAAGATCGGACCGAATTCTACTCGGATTGAGGTAGTAAACTGCTTGAAACTGCATGGAATTTCGCTGGAGCAGCACACCGGGTCATCGAGACAACGGGGCCGTGGTGGGAAAGCTAAGCGCACCGTTCCCGCTCTCTTTAGCGGGCCGCGCCGCGATCCTTGTTTCTCCCAAAGACACAGAGCTAAAGTGCTGCCAGTTCAAGCTCCACTAGGAGCTCGGGCGTCTTGCCTTCTGGATACACAGTTCCAACTGCAGGGAGTAGCATTTTCACACGAGACCTCCTGGGGAATCCACAGTCAATGCCGTGCGTCCATTTTCTGACACGACTGCTTTGGTATTGAAGATATCTGTCTCACAATCTGAACATGACTTGGCCATTCCCGAGGCGATTTCGCAAGTGGAGCCGGCCGCTGACGAACATCTGCTCATGGTTTGAGTCCTGCATGCCCTCTCCACCCTCAGCACTTACGTGCTCATGCTCGTCCTGAGCAACTGAACGGTAAAATAAAGGATGTTGCAGGAATCAATCATGTCACAGAGGTGCAGGTCGGTGCCAGGGGCCGGCCAGAAGCTATGGACAAATTTAATTGGAGTGCACACTGAAACTAATAACAAAGTTACACAAAGCTCCCCTTCCTCACTACTGTGCTTTCATGCAAGACACGATGGGAACTCCAGCGATCAAACGGCGTGGAGGTCTGTCTGATGGCAGCTCTTGAAACACAAGGCGAAGTGCTTGGTGATTGTTGGTGCTTGTCGCTCCAGCTTGGCAGAATGCCTTGTCTCTCAAGCATGCTGCCGAGAAAATCTTCAAGCATTGTCACGCTCCTGGGCATGGCCTGTCATGCTCATTCATCGTCGTCATCGTCGTCCTCCTCAACGACGGGCTCTTTGGCCACCTGTCACTGTTTCGAGGGCTGTGGCGGCGCTGCGCTTGCGCGCTCAACGCGGACCCGACCTTGGCCTTCTTCGCGGGCCTCTCCTCCTCCTCGTCGTCCGAGTCGTCGAAGGTCTGCTTCGTGCCTGCAGAGACGGCTTCAGGAGGTGCGCCCCTTCGTTAGAGCTGCCCCCGAACCGGCCTGTGGACTTGACCTGAGCAGCAACGCAAGGTCCAAGTCACGTCACACAAAGGCTTGGCTCAAACGTTTGAGGATGCCGGCCATGGTTCCATCCTCAGAAACAGCCCAAGGCATCCCGACCACCAAGGCTCCGAACGTCCAGCCTCGGCTGCTTTGTTCGGTCGCCTTCCTCCTACCTGAAATCAGCACGGCCCACATTGCGACGAACGAAAAGACTGCAGACTTCTCCGAGCGAAGGAATCTGCACGGCCTTTCCCCTTTCCTTTATCTTTGCCCTTGCCTTTGCCTCATCCAGCAGGGCAAAGCCCCGGTATTCATCAAGGGAAGTGGTGAGTGCCGACCTTCGTGGTCGCATGCTTTGCTGACGTAGATGGTTCGTCCACTGTATTCGGTCTTATTGAACTCCAAGGCCTTCTTCACAGCCTGGCTTCTTCCGAGAAGCGCCAGAAGCGAATGTCCCCCTCCGCAAAAAAGGAACTACCTATCACCGGGCCTCTTCGTCTTTGAACTCGACGAAGGCGATGCCCTTGAGTTGCCCGTCCTGCACGACAGCTCCCAAACCACAAAATCCCAAAATCCCGAAAACGGCCTCGGTCTTCAGACAGCGGCAGGAGGCCAGCTCTCCGCACTCGGCGAAGTCCTGCCAGGGCGTGCATACGAGTGTATCTAATCTACACATGTCATATGGATGCCGATACATCCCGCACATGAAGAACGTACACACATAAATGCTTTTGTGCATATACATATATATTCACACGCGCATGTACATACATATATATATATATATATATATATATATATGTGTGTGTGTGTGTGTGTACATACATACATACATACATACATACATACATACATACATACATGATAAATCATGCTCCCCCCCCCCCCCCGCACCAAAAATATCACCACCCACTTAATACACCGCTTCCGCAGGCGATTCTGCATGCACAGGAAGCATGATCATCGTCATCCTCATCATCATCATCATCAACACTTGTTGCCAATGCAGTCATTCTCTCTATGGGATGGGCATTCACTTGTGCAGGGATCGATCTCGCACCTCTGCATCCAGTTTTTCGGCAAGCACTGATAAGGTGTTCACTTGCCCAGGCGGATTGCTTCACTTGTGGCGGCTGCTACAGTGGCATCTTGCGCTCTCTGGCTGGCCCGACAGGAGTCAACAGGATCCGGCAGAATTCCTCCACCACGTAGGGACGTAGGCTCGAGTTTAGTTCCGGCCCACATCCGCGGCTTGTGGGAAGCTAGAGCTAGTTCCACGTCCCCGGACCTGCCTTCGGAGGTGACAGATGCCGGCAGTGCTTGGCTCAGCATCGGACTCTGTTACAACTCTTCAGGCCTTAATCAACAGTTGGCACAAACAAAGCCGCTCGCATCAGGCCCAGACCTTTGCGCGGTTGGTGAGCCGCCCCCGATTTGAGTGCTTCAGGTTGCAAGATTTGATGACAGTGGACATAAGATAGGAGGCCCCGTACTCCATCACCTTCCCCTACTTCACTGATGCAGCCTGCAACACCAGTGCAGCACACTACGAGGTGTGCAGCGTGGTTTGCCATCTTGGTGCCACCGCCCGCAATGGCCACTATCGCTCAGCTCTTTGAGTGCAAGCCTCCATCACTCACATTACTGAGGATTCCACTCCTACGCAACAAGCCACAGAAGCCGATGTAGCTGAAGTCATTAGCAATTCGTATGTCTTCTTTCTTCATAGGCTGAGCTGACTTTTGAGAAGTGGTTCCATCTTCAACTCGGCGTCCCGTGCTGTGACAAATAGTGTGTAATTCACGTTCTTGGGAAGTGTCCGCTTAGTGTTTTGGTGAGTGTTGCGTCCTGCTTATGGGCTCTTCGGAGCGGGGATGCGAGGACAACCTGCAAGTGCAGGCGTGTGAAGGAGGCTACAAGCACGTCCTAGAGATGCCGGTAGCAAAGTTACTGCTCCAACGCATCGCGGACTCCTCTGCGGCGAACCAAGAAGAAGAAAGATAAGCCGGCCAATGCTTGACAGTCTGGCCTCACCTGAATCGGACTACCAGCTTGATACTGTCATGGAAACGAAGTCCCCCTCCCCCTCCTCCTCCACCTCCTCCTCCTCCTCCGCTCCTTCTCCCCCTACTGCTGCCTGCGCCACTGCGGCAAGCACCAGTACCACGATCAGCATCGCAAATCGGGAAGTAGCGGCCAAGTACTTCTTTGAAGCGTCGCTGCCATCTTGTCTTGTTCCGATACCAGTAGGATAGCTCATGATGGTGGTCACCATGTCTACAGTCCTCCTTGTCAGGACTACCTCTTGGTGTCGCCGTGCTTTAACGCCAAAGCGAATCGCGCTCCTTCTCGACGGTCTCCGCGTCCAGGTGGTAGGACAGGCCTGTGATTCACTGGCGCGAACATGAATGAGAAGGACGTTCCGTTGGTTTGGGAAAAAGCATCCGAGGATGGAGCCCCTGATGCAAACCGTAAGCTCGTCGTTCTGGCTGCCCTTTCCTTTGCCCTTGTCCTCAGCTACGGGTCGGACTGTATGAGAACGCATTCCTTTGCGCTTTTCCGGGTCTGCTGCTTTCCCTTTGCTCTTTCCTTTGTCCTTGCCCTTCTCCTTCCCTCACAGAGACAGGAAAGCTCGAAGCTACGTCAAAGTGCGGGGCCGTGGCCAGCCTTTGCCCTTGGCGAGCATGTTTTGACCCATCAGCGGCTGCTGATCGCCACCTAAAGCTCTTGCTTGTGGGAGGAAGCCTCAGCCAAGTGCCGCGTGCCTTTGCTGTGGCTCTTCCCACCGGAAGAGATCGGGATCTGCTGCCTGCAGAGCTCAAGAGCTGAAGAGAGAGCGAGAGAGGAGCGCCCACATTTGAGGCACCACCACTATGCCTGCCTCCGTACACGCGTACAACCCTAGCATGGTTTTCATGGAGCAGTTTCAGGCACGCGGCATCGCTCGCTGCTTCATGACATCCGTGGGCTGCCAGCCGCCTGCAGGGAGTCTTGTTCTGAAAGCTGAGCAAAAAAAGACTGCACACCTCTCCGAGCGAAGGAATCTGCACGGCCTTTGCCCTTTCCTTTATCTTTGCCCTTGCCTTTGCCTGCCGTCCAGCAGGGCAAAGCACCGGCACTCATCAAGGGAAGTGGTGAGTGCCGACCTTCGCGGTCGCATGCTTTGCTGACGTAGATGGCTCGTCCACTGTATTCGGTCTTATTGAACTCCAATGCCTTCTTCACAGCCTGGCTTCTTCCGAGAAGCGCCAGAAGCGAATCTCCCCCTCCGCAAAAAAGGAACTACCTATCACCGGGCCTCTTCGTCTTTGAACTCGACGAAGGCGATGCCCTTGAGTTGCCCGTCCTGCACGACAGCTCCCAAACCACAAAATCCCAAAATCCCGAAAACGGCCTCGGTCTTCAGACAGCGGCAGGAGGCCAGCTCTCCGCACTCGGCGAAGTCCTGCCAGGGCGTGCATGCGAGTGTATTTAATCTACACATGTCATATGGATGCCGATACATCCCGCACATGAAGAACGTACACACATACATGCTTTTGTGCATATACATATATATTCACACACACACACACACACACACACACACACACACACACGCACGCCCAACAAAAAAAATATTAAAAAAACCACCACCCTGTCAAAACACCGCTTCCGCATGCGATTCCGTTGTTTTGGGAAGGTCTGCATCTTCCCTACGATGGTCTGTTACATACAAAGATGTATGTTGTTACATACCTGTATGTATGCTGTTACCTACATATATGTATGCATGCATGCACAGGGAGCATGATCATCGTCATCAGCATCATCATCATCAACACCTGTAAAGACAAGCCGGCCGATGCTTGACAGTCTGGCCGCACCTGAATCTGACTACCAGCTTGATACTGTCATCGAAACAAAGTCACTCCCATTCTCCCCCTCCTCCTCCTCCTCCTCCTCCTCCTCCGCTCCTTCTCCCCCTACCTCTGCCTTCGCCACTGCGGCAAGCACCAGTACCACGATCAGCATCGCAAATCGGGAAGTAGGATAGCTCATGATGGTGGTCACCATGTCTACAGTCCTCCTTGTCAGGACTACCTCTTGGTGTCGCCGTGCTTGAACGCCAAAGCGAATCGCGCTCCTTCTCGACGGTCTCCGCGTCCAGGTGGTAGGACAGGCCTCTGACTCACTGGCGCGAACATGAATGAGAAAGACGTTCCGTTGGTCTGGGAAAAAGCATCCGCCGAGGGTGGAGCCCCTGATGCAAACCGTAAGCTCGTGCTTGTCCTCAGCTACGGGTGGGACTGTATGAGAGCACATTCCTTTGCGCTTTTCCGGGTCTGCTGCTTTCCCTTTGCTCTTTCCTTTGTCCTTGCCCTTCTCCTTCCCTCACAGAGACAGGAAAGCTCGAAGCTACGTCAAAGTGCGGGGCCGTGGCCAGCCTTTGCCCTTGGCGCCCATGTTTTGACCCATCAGCGGCTGCTGATCGCCACCTAAAGCTCTTGCTTGTGGGAGGAAGCCTCAGCCAAGTGCCGCGTGCCTTTGCTGTGGCTCTTCCCACCGGAAGACATCGCGACCTGCTGCCTGCAGGGCTCAAGAGCTGAAGAGAGAGAAAGAGAGAGCGAGAGACAGATAGAAACATTTCAAGCATGAGCTGTACGAATATGTCCTGGTATGTCTACGAGCGTACGAGCAGCGCGGTTTTCAGCAGTTTCAAGCACGCGGCATCGCTTGCTGCTTCATGACGTCCTTGGGCTGGCAGCCGCCTCAGGGAGTCTGGCTTTGAAAAGCGAGCACTTGCTTGAAGCTTTCGGGTGCCTCTTTGGCCCTTGCCCTGTGGATCTGCCTCGGCTCCTTCCTCGGCCAAGCGCTTTGGGCGTGAGGCTTTCCCTAGACCCTAAACCCTGCCGACTCTCGACAGCAAAGTAAGTTCTGTCCCTAGGCCCTTAAAATCCCCTAGATAATTATAAGCCCTCAACCCTTTGCTACAGACATGGAGCCATAGGATTTCAACAACGGAAAGCACAGAGCGTCCTCAACTTTAATCCCAGAGCTAAACTCTAATGCCTCAGATTTCAGCATAACGACAGCAGTGCCCGCCCCACGGTTGCAATAAAATCCTGAATTGCCATACACGTAACCTTGCTATACGACCTAAACCCCAACGCAAGAGACTCTCTATGCCTTCGACTCATCGTAGACCATGACCATCTGACAGGGCACGAACGTCAGCCATGCAACGCAATGCAATGCACTCCCTGGGAAAATGAGGAATGGGTTTGACTGGCCTTTTATCGGGGACTCTGAAAGCTGTCCACAGGGACTACTGTGAACATCCACTCCCCCTTTTCCTACCAGCACAAAAGCGTACTCATGCGTACTCGGTGAGCCTGAGGCACGCATTGACTTTTGTTTAATGGATAAAGCTCAACAACTGCGACTTGCGGTGCTAGCACTTACATGCTAGGATAACTGCAATGATTGCCCAATGTAAAGGTCCCCTGAATGTCCCAACTTGGCCCGCAAAATTCTAGGTGAAGTGACGCAGGTCGCATAGCTTGAAAGGGCCTGCTTCAGAATGCGGATCTTTTCCGCCTAGCCACAGGAGGATTGGACGGCTCAAGGGATTTCATCACGGTGCACGCAACATACCAACGGCCTTCGGCAGAAGGCGCACCGGCTCCCCGAAGATCTGGCGAGGATGGCTGCAAGAGTCAAACATTCGAGCTGCTTTTCAACACTTTGAACATCTGTTGCAGCAATTGACATCACGGAGCGCACATTTGGCTCCCAATCTTTGGGAAGCGGCATGGCGATGTCGCTGGAAATCACCCTGCAAGTTGCAAGCCCTTCTCACTGAAGAGACCTTCACGGACATGCCTTTTTGGCTAGCTGTCTGCTTCTCACGAATCTAGGGACCAGGCAGTGTCGCCCCTTGAAGAGATGGTACGGCGCCATCGCTCCTAGGCCGTGCTTTCACACTTTCATGCCCTGCATGGTGGCATGCTGTCAGGATGAAGCCTCACGTTCGGAGCATCATCTTTAAGATCATCAGACGGCGGAACCCTTAGAACGATTTCACATGCAGAAGGCCCATTTAACGAAAGGACCGAGAAGACCACGGACTTCTTGCCGGCATTGTGGCCACCTGCAAGAGATCATCTAGGCCACATGTCCAACATTCGCTTCAGTTCTCAACATGCAGGCTAGTTTTCTGCACGTGGACCGTGAACTTGGTTCTGCCTGCAGGAAAGCTGCACGCCGGATCCCGCTGAAGCCAAAGCTCTTGAGCCGAGGCCGCACCCAAGTGTACCCTGCAGAGCCAAATCCTTCTGGAAAACTGGTTAAACACGAGCCGTCGTCGCCTGCAACCTGGCCCTGTAGTTAAACATTGCCACAGTGCATGCATATGCATACATATAATTACATATGTATCGAAATTATCATTATTATATATATATATATGGAAGGTACATCAGCACGTGTCCCGATCGGGTGTACATTCACTAGACACAAACAATCCTTAACAATATCAACGCTCGAGGCTGTCCATGTCGCTGATATCAGGATCCCTCACGAGCGCCCATCACAGGACGTGCACAATGAGCCCAGGGCCTCACGACCTTTCTTTCGAACACGCCTTCCTCATCGTCAGCCCAATAGAGGATGCGGCTGTCTCTTTAAGCAACTTTGTGCAGGATACGAAGTCCATCATCTTAGGATGTTCCTTCGAATCCCTTATGCAATTCCCGCGACGTCAAGGGCCCTTGCAGCATTGACAGAAATGAAGAGGTACCTCGCGTCTCTGAATTGAAGATGAGTCTATCAAGGATCCAAGTCGTCACATTATCTCGATATGAAGTACAGGAGCCGCCTTGAAGCCCTCAGCCCTTTCTGATCGATTGAAATGCTGGCTGCCGCACCAAAGTGCGGCAGAATGAGCTGGTTTCTTTTTGGTGCACGACAGGGTTGCATAAGGTTGCTCCGCCCTCTCCCTGCAAAGATACTGTTGAAGGCGCGGCAGACAACTTGTCCTGTGAGCCTGAGATCGTTAATCTTCTTATCTGAGTCTTGGTGCATATGCATGGGCTTGGATTATGTAACAGCGTATTGCTGGGTTCAAGGTGTGATCGTGCTACTCCTATCAAGACTCTGTCCTTCTGTTCTCCGTCACATTCGCTCCACACACTCGGATAGCATTCGACTTCGACCGTTTGCATTCGAGCTGTCGCCTGCGATGTCATATTTGCCACCGACTATCACTGACACACGTCTGAAAGCCTTTCTACATCTACACAGCGCGCCGAAGGGCTGGCAGAACCCCCTTCACCCTAAGTGCATAAAACGCGGCCGTGCCTTCATCTTGATGTCAGGCGCACAGCGGAACTCCCAGCTCAGCTTCCTGCACGCTGCAACCTGGGTTTAGGGTTTCGGGGTTTTGGGGTTGTGGGTTTTAGTGAGTAAGGGGGTAAGAGTTTCCGGGGGTTTAAGGGTTTAGGGCGAACTAGCTGAATCTAGAGAGTGAAGGGGCTCAACATCTGAGCAGGGGATGCGTGGTGTCGCTAAGCTCATCCAATACTGCGGTTGACCAAAGCCGATATCTCCGAATACCTTCAATCCTCGGAATGCTTGAGTTCGTTCTCTTACCCTAAACCCCACACCCTAAAGGTTTTGGACACGGGACCTGCTCAGGCACAAGGTGTCTGCGCCTGCATTTCTCCGCATCCAGGACGATCAATCGAGCCGCGAACTTGCAATCAGGGAAAATGGACGCCAACCTGACATGCTGCCTTAAAATAACCTGGAGGGGTATGCCTGCAAACTTACAGATGTTGCCAGCAGAATCCAAGAAGCAAGAAGGGTTTCACGAAGCATCGCACTCGCACCTCCCCAGCATTCGTATTGGATGTGGGCAGCAAGGCACATTAAAACTTGGTGAGGATTTGGGAGGTGGAGGAGATCTTCCAACTTGCACCTAAAGGTCAGGGGCTGGAGACAACATGATGCCCCGAGTCAGAAGCACGTTCATCCCTCTCGCGCACCTTCTGCCCAGACACGAAGTGTGACTGGTCGACGCTCAGCTTGGGGTACAAAGCTTGCTCATGATGCGACCGCACCATTCTCCAAGCTGCGATCTACCAAACTAGCAAGGGGCTTCAGCTTCCGGGTCTCGATCTCTGGCTTTCGGACTTGGCCGATGGTGTTTAGATCTCTCAGATGACGACTCTGCTATGGATCCACGACGTGAATGTGGACAATCCAAAACAGGTACTATCTAGTTTTGCCACACCTGCCTAATGGTCCAATTGATGTCTGCTCGACGACTTGAAAGATTCTGGAATGTAGCCGCCTTGCTGCAACGGAGTACTCTCCTTGTGTCATGAGGTGCTTTTGAACACGACGAGGGAAATAAACGGATGAGGCAGGCCCTCGTGCTGTCTCATGGAAGGACCCCATTGAAACACTGCTTTTGGTCCTAGTAATGGGCAGCTGGAACGATCATTGCCGTTGAAGGATTGCGGCTGTTGTCAATCATCCACTGTTATGCAGAAGGAAGCCCACATGCGATCTTGATTGCCGATTCTGCGACGATTACTTGAAGAAGACCTACAAGAAAGAAACATGCCGCGCCCACCCCCTGTTGCCGATCTGGCCCGAGTGCCTCCCCCATCGCTGCCTTTCAGCGAGCATACCAACTCGCGCATCTACGTGCCTTTGCTGCTCCACGCAGCTGGCATGGTTTCACCCGAGAAGCGAGCTTCGTGGACCTCTCAGGCTTCCATTGGAGCTTGGTGGCATTAATGCCAGATCGACGCAGTGTCAACCCGCCCGTTTTTACCCGTGCACGACACAGTTGCTGCCATCGCAGTTGTCGCACAAGCACGTGGGGACGACCTTAGCCAATCGGCAGCGTTCCGGCGTCTCGTAGCGTGGGCGCCAGCCCGCTCCTCCGGCGCCGAATCGCTGAGTGCTATCTTGCGGGCCGTCGCTGTGCCCGAGGAAGGCCACAACCTCCCCGCCGCAGTCCAGCCGGGGCTACTCACCCTGCTGCTGGGCCAAGATGGCGCTTCGACCTTGGAAAGATCGAGACATTGACGTGCTCCGTCAGGCCAACGCATTGCCACCAATGATGCTCTACTCAACGACGCGCCTCCCCTCACTGACGACCATACTTCGGGCGGAACCTCGCAGGGAGGCAGATCCGCCCTTGCGGGCATCTCGGCTTCTGCGTGGTCCAGCCTCGATGCTGTCGACCTCGCTGCCGAGTTCGGCACGCCCGTGCCGACCATGCAACGTGTGCCGGTATTTTTACGATCGGGCGTGCGACAAGCCTTCGTGCTCGCGCTGCGTGCCTTACGTGAAGCATACACGCGCGGCACGGCCCCGCAACAGACCCGAGCCTGGAAACTGTTCTTGCTCGCACCGCACTTGTTGCTCCACCGCGCTCGCGAACCGGGCACGGTCGGCCGAGAGGCCCTTATAGGCCTTTTACAACGCTCGCGAGACGTCCTTGCTGGACGCTGGGACAGTTTGCTGAGCCCTGCGGCCGTCGAGTAACACCGGTTGCCGCATGGGTCGAGGTCGACAGCGGCGCGGAGCATACCCGACACGGCGTCGGTGCCCGCACGTGTCTGAAGCGCGAATTGATACGGCCGGGTCGCCTCGTCAAAGGTGTCGGCGAACATCCGAGTTAGGCTGCGGGACACGAGACGCCGGAAAGTGACGCCGGTGGCGATACCACGGACGCCCCCGCCAGGTTTGCGGAGCGCGGTGAGGCGAGAAAGGCTCAAGGCAGCAGCGACAAATGTGCGGCCGCGAGAAGGTTAGATGCATGGACAAACAGCTCGAGTGCCTCCGCATCATCGAGCAGAAGCTTGTACTGCTCGCAGGTGGCGCCCATTGGCGCCCGGAAGCCCGGCAGCGGTGCCACGCTTGGCAGTCCGCAGAGCTTGAGCTACAGCGGTCAGCACTGCCGGTGACTGTCGGGCTGGAAGTTGAGGAGGTCGGGAGGCACGTCCTGTCGGGGTGACGGCGGGCGCCGTGCCGGATCAAATGGGGCGGCGAAGGTCTCGTCCGTGCCGGGCGCGATCGCGGCGGATGTTAACACACCCCTCGCACGGGAGACTTCGCCCCTCCGCACGTTGGCGCAGACCAATGATCATCCAACGATCGACGCCGTTCGCGAGCGGCCTCATCGTCGGCATACACACCATTTGTCGTGCTGCATTCTTGCGCAAGCTGCACGCCGTGGCCCCTGCGCTGGTACCTTTATTGCGCATGTGGTACGGGCAGCTGTCCACCTGTTTCTCGTGGGACTCAACCGGCCCAGAGACGCACTATCCACCAGCGCGAAGGGTGCGAACAGGGGGACGCTCTCGCTCCCGCGCTGTATGCCCTTGGCCAGCACGACGCTTTGGTCTGCCGAGCTGCGCCCTGGCGAATGTCTCGCTGCATTCCTGGACGACGTCTACCTCGCCACTACGCCGCCACAGGCGCGCGAGGCCCTCGACATCGTCTCCAGCTCCATCGAAACGCGGGCAGGCGTGGTCGCTAATGTTGGTAAGACCCGGGTGTGCAACCGTGCTGGAGGGCCAGCTCCCCCCAGGAATCGCCGCACTTGGGGCAGGTGTGTGGCGTGGAGAACTGCCGGCTGATGCCCTTGGCCAAGTGCAATCGCCGCTTGGGTTGAGGGGTTTAGGTCTGCAATCTGCCCCCTCCGGCGCATCGGCCGCCTACTCGGCCTCGTGGCAGGATGCCTTCCCTGCACTGCTATACAGCGTGCGTTTTTACAGTTTCCCAGCTGATGCGGCGCAGCTGCAAGCTAGCCTTACCGCGCCGCATGCGGGCATGCCGCCAGCCCTCGCCGCGGCTTGCACGGCCGCGACGCGAGTGCGTGAGGCTGGATTTTCCAGTACCCGACTGGAGCATTGCGGCGGCGCCTGCTGCTCTGCGCACCCTCCGCACGGGGACGGCCACCTGCGTGGCTGGCAGCACGCGGCCGTGGCCCTTTCTCACCTCCACCCTGCGTCCCGAGCGCTGCTGCTTTCGCAAGCTGGACCCCACTCAGGCCTACCCTCCCTGTCTTCCAGAGGTCGGCCGCTGTCACCCTGCCACCCCAACAGCTCCGAGTGCCCCTACCCCTCGCGCCGCGCACCTGCCGCTGCCGGGGCCGCCTCGATCCGCTCGGTGACCACCGCTCCGCTTGTGCTACATCCGGAGCGTTGGCGTCCCGAGCCCTTCCGCTCGAGCTGCGGTCGCCCACGTCTGCCGGGAAGGCGGCGCGCGAGTTGCCCGCAACGTCCGGCTCGCTGACATCAACATTGATGCTCCCGTCACAACGATTCACAATTTGAACATTCCTTTGTTTTGCGGAAATCATGTCGGGCACTCCTCCCTACACATTTCCGCAATAAGCCCTGCTCGCAAATCCCTCTGTGGCAGCAATCCTCTCCTAAACCCTGCCTTGCAAATCATTCCCTGATGCGTCGTACTGCAAATATTCCCCACCCAGCTTTTCTTTTCACCAGCGTTCCAAGCGCGGCAGTCCCAGTGCAGACCCAAGTCTATGTTGCGCGATACGGGGTCTAGGGCATGCGGCTTGCAAGAAGCGGCTCAAGGGAGGAGTGACAGTGAGGATGCCGCTCAGCAGTGGGGACTCGCCATTGACATTGGCTGTGCCGCCAAGAGCCAAGAAGAAAAGGCTTGCTGCAAAGGCGCGGGCAACCGCAAAGGAAAGTAGGGAGCAAAGGAGAAATGCTGGCACCGCGAGAGGAGGCAGGCACAGCCCTCGCACGGAGGCGCGCAAGGAGTTTGACATGTTTGACACAGGTGGCAGCTTCAGTGTTCCAGCGGCCACCGAGCTCGAGAGCAAGAACGACAAGCTTGCATCGGGCAGACTGTCGGAGCTCAGGGTAGGTGCGCTATGGTGCGCTCCTTGGCTTTGCGCGCGAACGCAGGTGCAGCGCCGGCATTGCGACCAGCTGCCCTGCGGGGGGCACTAGCAGAGGTCAAACGGGACACGAACGTAGTGTCGACTGCGAGCTGCGAGCCTCCGCAGAGCGCAAGTCCATTAGCAATGATTTCGATGCGGCGCTCATCCTGCCTGGCGACATCAACGTTGACGTTGAGGTCGACAGTGGTTCCGGCTTCCCGGCAGATACGGGCGGTAGCGCGCTCGACAGGGCCGCCCCTGGCGCGAAGGACACCCGACCGAGGACATGCAGCGAGGTGGTCCCCGAATCGGTCGTACATTTGCCGGCAGCGGCAGCGAGCCGAAATCAAGGCCAGGGGCAGGCGAAGCCGGCGGAGGAGCAACACACGGAAAAGCGGCGAGCTGAGGGACAGCTCAGGCGAGACCGGTCTAGTGAGGGCCCGACTGTGAGTCCAACATAGCGAGGCTTGGGGCATCAAGCTCTCGGCGGATGGCACGGTGGCAGAACTCATCAACAGTGCGTGAAGCAGGGAGCTGCCACCTACGCGTAAGAGCGGCGGGGTCGTCCTCACATGTTCTCACGCGACACACAAAGCACCGCTGAGAGCACAGCTGCCCACGTGGGGGTCTGGTAGCCTGCAGCTTGCAGTGACGCGGTTGCATTCTTCAAGGCGGCTAGGGCGTGAGATCTAGAGAGCGTATGAGGGCCTGAGCGAAGGCTCGATCGCGACGTGCGAGGGTCGGGAACGCATCGGCCCAAAACGCCCAGTAAGCTGCGACGGCATGGCGCTCAGCGCTGCGAAGACCAAGTCCACCGTGGCGCAGCGCAAGTTGGGCACGTGCGGCAGCCAAAGCAGGCAAGCCAGCAAGGCATCCAGGCCAGAGAGGACAGCAGCATCGTGCTCAGCGGAGTACACTCGCATATCCTCTGGAAGCATGTGCGCAGCACGTACTGCGCACGTGGGGCAGCACAGAAACACAGCAACAGCCACGCTCCCTGAGTGTCGGCAAGGAGCAACAAGCGGTCGAGGAGGACCGTTTGTTTGGCAAACAAGGCCTCAAGGAATGCTGCAACGAACTCCGGTGTCAGGGTGGACCCCGGCGCTGTTCCAAACGCGGGTCTTACCAGGGTTGAGGCGGAGCTGGGCACGACGGATTGCATGCTCCTCGAAACGGCGGTGCAGGTGG